CTGGCAAGATGGATTCTTGTGTGATCTCTTGATCTCGCGAGTCCAGCTGCCTAGCAAGGTTAATATGGTGCAGCAGTAAAAGACAACTAGGTTGCTGCGAATCAGGTCAAGACTTACAGGCCTCCAAAAAGCTCAACTGTTAAGACTAGAGAGGAGAAACGATCTGTGGACAGCCATCCGTCTGAAGCTCAGAAGGAGCCAAGTGTCACTAACTCAGAAGGAGGTCAGCTTTTTCTCCTCAGCTTGATTTCTCTGTCTCTTGTCTAAATATTTCTTCTGTCTTTCCCCCTTTTTCTGTTACATCTGCCTCTCCCTCCCTCCCTCTCTCCCTTTCTCTCTCCCTTTCTCTCTCCCTTTCTCTCTCCCTCTCCCTTTCTCTCTCCTCTCCCTCCTCTACACTCTGTTTTTCTCTATCCATTTGGCTGCCGATCTGTTTTCAGAGAGTGAGGTCAGAGTGAGTTAGAGCAGGAGGGCCTGCGTCTGTTTCTGTCTCCTAGCTAGACACATTCAGATTAAAGCCTTTAACACTGAGAAACAACCTTTTATGGACTTATACAGCAGCAGGACTCCTGGTAAGCAGCAGTGGAAATTTCAAGGCTTCAATGTTTTAACTATTTTTTTCCTCCCTAGATGCTCTGGAGATTTGCATGGGATCGTTTGACTTTAAAATCTTTTTGGCATCTTTGCAGTTACAACAGACCTTTTACAAAATTTACAATTAGTCTTTTTAGTTTTTTGGGGGGATTTTGAGAGTTTCTATTTCTGTTACATGGGCGGCTACAATAATGTGACTTAATAGTTTGACACTCTTTTAGCTGATCAGGTTTGTTCAGTCTCAAATCAGTTACATCTGATGGAGTTTGACCTATTGTTGCCACTATTTTACACAGTCTTCTAAGCTGCCCTTAGGGTTTGATGTTTTCATTCTAAAATAATTTAAAAGTAATGCATCTTCTTATGTGTTAACATGCTCTTTATCATAGGATCTGACCTCTTTATTCATGTTTTCTGCAGCGAGGAGGTGGCCAGACATGGCTTCACAGTCATTGTGGACATGCGTGGTTCTAAATGGGACAGCATCAAGCCTCTGCTGAAGATCCTTCAGGAGTCTTTCCCGTCTTGTATCCACGTCGCCCTCATCATCAAGCCAGACAACTTCTGGCAGAAGCAGAGGACCAACTTTGGCAGCTCCAAGTTTGAATTTGAGGTGGGTGACACTCTACATACCTTACTTATTACCTACTACTAATACACAAAACTAATCCTTTTTTCAACATTTTCAGCTTGCTTTCTGTTATTTTGGATTTTCTACATGAACGTGTTATAGTCTCTTTTGAGTATACAGGTGTATCATTGTTTTATTATGTTCTACAAGAAATGGAGATATTGGTTGTGCTAATCGATATCTCTATCTCCAAAATAACATAAATTTATTTTAAAATGACAGTTTGTTGTAAGCTATTAAAGTTTCTGTTCGTTTAGCATAGCCATCAGTCTTAATTTATCAGCTCTAATTGGACTGCTGCTTGGTGACAGTGGCACTGTTCTGTCCCGTGTGGGCATGTGGTGCTGGTATATTTAGTCCTGACCCAGTTACTATGGAAACAGGTTATATAGGACATGGCGTAGCATTTTATCCCACACTAGTGAGCTGGGTTTGGACAAGCCACTTGTTTTTTTATGATGATGTCAAAAATGTACTGTATGTGAGTAAGACACAATGATAAGCAGGAGGTCACTGGTTGGAGTCTCTGACTGCAAAGTTCAAAATGGGGGCAGTGATCAAGATGTCTACTCCTTTGCCTCATCAAGCACTATTAAGATTTTCAAAACTGCTGCTCATCAATCAGGAGTACAAGAAGATGTTTTTATAATGTAGGTTCACACCTCCACCTCCAGCTATTCCTGTAAATGTGTCTTACTTTGCTTGCGGTTCAAAAGAAGCTAACCCTCCAGTTCACATTCACTCACTCATGCTTCTCAGAGAACCAGGGTTACGCAGGAAAGTTATTATAGCATCTATGCAGGCAGGCAGACTTCAGCCCCATATCTGACAGTTTATTTTGCATTTTCATTGTGTTTTCCCTTGCACTGTTTTTACTTCCTAAGAGTTTATATCTGTATATTTCCAACTTATAAATGATAACATGAATGCTGCTTAAAATGTCTGGAATGTTGTTGTTTTTTGGTCACCCCACCTTTCTAAACATTAGACATGTGGAACCACTGACTTTGCACATTCTTTTCATAATCTAGGTTTAACAGTGGGAAATATTTTGACAAGTTAACATTTGATTACACTGGAATATGGAGACAATGATGACTGTGATGATAAATTAATTGTGGTGATCTGTTTCGTTCATCCTCCCTTTATCTATTCTTAATCTTTTTCATTTTCCTTTTTCTGCATTCATCCCTCTTCCACCTCATCTATCTCTTTGTTGTCATTTCCGACTTCATTTGTCCTACATAACCCGCACTAGACGGTGATGGTTTCCTTAGAGGGTTTATCCAAGCTTGTGGACCCATCCCAGCTGACAGCTGATTTTGAGGGCAGCTTAGAGTACAACCATGATGACTGGATTGAGGTTTGGATACTTTTACTTTCTTCTGCATACAGAAAGGCACCAGCCATTGACTTAGGCTTTTTTGTGTTTAATTAAGAAAACAGCTCTGCTCTTGACAGCAGGACTTTGTCAGCATGTCTTGTCTTTTACAGATACTGAATTAATGGAAATTAAGTGGTATTTCCATTTTGTAAAATGCAGATCACTTTTAACTTTTATTTCAGGTGCGGCTGTCATTTGAGACCTTTGCCAGCGATTCTGCGCGGGCACTGGCACGCCTTGAGGAGCTCCAGGACACCTTGTCCCAGCGTGATCTCCCACGGGACCTGGAGGGGGCCCGAAGGCTCATGGAAGAACATGCAGCGCTTAAGAAAAGGGCCACTAAAGCATCTGTGGAGGAGCTGGACACACAGGGACGCAGGCTACTACAAAGGCTACAGTCACAAACTGCAGGAAGTGGAAGTAGCAGTGAAAGCGGTTATGGTAACCGCTCTGGTGGAGCTAGTGGAGATTCCAACGACCATCATCACGGGTTCCATACGCATGCAGACGCACACAACCTAGTAGCTAAAGTAACGGGTTTGTTGGATAAGCTGCATGGGACTCGACAAAATCTGCAGCAGCTGTGGCACATGAGGAAGCTGAAGCTGGACCAGTGTTTCCAGCTGCGTCTGTTCGAACAGGACGCAGAGAAGGTCAGAGTGCTATTCATTCTATTCTCGATGATTTTCACGTGATGATTGAAACCATGTTGAGGATAAGGTTAATTGGTTCCTCACTGCCTCCTAATGTTCTTGCCCCTTGATGATTCTGTTTTGTTTTTTTGTTGGTTTTCTTTTTTATTGGTTTTTCAAAAGGACAATGAGACAATGAAGTATACATCATACATCAAAATATCACAGCAAACTACACCGAACTACACCTAAGACAGGAAAAGAACAGGCAACAAGGACAGAATGAATATAACAGACAGCGTTTTATTTAGTATTGTGCATATTTAACATGATATATATCATGTATCAAATATATCAGATTTTATAAACTAAACAATGCCTCAGATTATACATGTCATAAAGAACATCACATTATATCATTGTTGGAAAGGCTGCAACTCTTTAGTACATCAGTATACTGTAGTATATATTTCATGTAGATACTTCTATATAAGTATGTGCCACTGTGCAGTTTATTTCAGGCCACATAGGAGCTAATGTACCGCGTCTTAGCTGGGTATTTGAAAAACCCAACTTTCATCCCCATGTAGAAAAGCTCAGCTGTGTATGTATATAGTGGTAAAAGCTTAACAGACAAGGTGCATTGGAGGACTTGAACTACTGATAGAAGGTTGATAGAAGGTTGGTGTACAATATTCTAATAATATATATAATTTTTTTATTTGTTTTATTTTTATTATTTATTTATGTACTCAAGCTATTTTAAATCTCAAATATTATGATTGTGTGTGGAAGCAGAGAATAAATGAATGTTTGTGAGTGTGCGCCTGCATGTCCTCAGTTTTTCACGAGAGTGTGATGTTGCGTGTCTAGAGCTGGGAAATGTAGCTATATGAACTGTGCAGAGCTGGAGGCAAATGCAGAGGTCTGCTGTGGAAAGCAGCGATTAAACACACCTTTTCCAGCCACCAACAAACATGTAGAGAAGAGAACATAAAAAGAACACACTGCCATATAAATGAAGGGTAAAGCTCAGTGGACACTATACACGCACACGCACACACACAGAGCTTGTTCTTTTGTTCCAACTTAATATTGAGGAGCTTGAAGATAACTTGCCTCTAGAACAGTTCCTCTCTTATTCTCACTGTCGTTGTTGACTAAAGACGAGATGGAGAGACCCTTTTCATTTGAAGTGCATTCTGTGAAACTAACTAACTAACTTTTCTTCTACTCTTCTGTGTAGATGTTTGACTGGATCATGCACAACAAGGGGCTTTTTCTCACCAGTTACACAGAGATCGGCGGGAACCACCAGCATGCCGTTGAGCTGCAGACCCAGCACAACCACTTTGCTATGAACTGCATGGTAAGATGTTGTCTTTGTCTCTCTTGTGCACATGGACAGAAACACGGTCGACACACGGGCAATGTGGTCACAAGTTATCATCATTACTGTCATTTACAGTAACAAGCTAAGGCCTCCCACCCCTGCCACCACACACACAAACATGCACCTCTTCTTTTTCACAGCCTTTATCCCAGACCATCCTCTGCCTTAGGCTGTGACTTGCTGTAGACTGGTATTTTCTGTCCTGCTACTTTTTCTCTCTTATATTATTCAGCTGTTTTCCACTCTGCCTCAATTCTGCCCCCTCTGTCATGTCATGTCACAGTGCTATTCCCATAATTGACCCATATTGCCTCCCTGCCCCTCCCATAGCTGTGTGCTGCCCTCTGCTGCTATGCTCCACAACCCTCCCTGCCCTCCCGTACCTTACTGTAGTCTGTCGAGGTCTGCTGCTTACTAATAAGTGGAGCTGAGGACATTATTCTATATCAACTCTGTTGTCCTACGGTGCTCTGCTCTGCTAGTTCTTTTAACCCCTCATGGTATCAATCCCCGACCCTGTTTGTGTTTCTCCCACCACAAACCCATACACTGCCCTATATTTCCAATTTGTTGTCACATTTTAGTTTTTGCATGAATTCATCAATGACAGTCACATAGCATTGTAAATGCTACAAAACTATCAAACAGCATAATAACTAAACATGTTCAGTCCATTACCTCCTAAACGGACAAAAACAACCCAACCCTTACACAGGAAAATGTGGTAAAGACACTTCACTTTCACCATCATACAGTAACTATTGTTCGTGTGACAAAAGTGTAGCCAAGAGAGAGCAGGACCCATGGCCTAAATTCTCCCACTTACAAATCACTGGTGTTAGGAACCATGTTCAACAATGAGTGGTGTCAACATGGGGGCCCAGGGGGCAGCTCCAGTGACCACCCAAAGCCAGTTGTGTCAACACCGGGTCGAGATGAACCAGTAACCCCTGAGACAACAGTAGAAAGCACGTCCATCTGTCTAGTAGAAAAGACAGATGGACGTGCTGTATAAACTCACACATATATATTCAGAGCACTGTATACACACACACACACACACACAAACACACAAACACAGAGTCGGGTACACTCAGAGTGACAACTGCCCCCTCCACCCATTCTTCCACAGGAAGCAGCGTTTCCCTTTCCTGTTGCCTGCATGGTTGAATGGAAATACATAGAGTTAGTGTGCGTCATGTGTGTTTATATGCGTTCATGTAGTGATACTGCCTGTGTCCTCTTGTTTCTTTGTGTGTGTATATGTGAACATTTATGGGAGAGGTGAAACAACACCACACTATCTGTACACAGGTTGGCCAGTTTCCACTGATGCCAAACACTAGCATTGCTAGTTTTAAAAAATGTGTTGCTGCATCAGCATTGCTTTTGCATTATTGTATTAGTGATCATTGCTATAGAAATTCATAATGTCAACTTTTACGTTAAGATTTAAACCAAATGTTAATAGTGACTTTTGCAATTATGTAAATGGTTATGTGTCAAACACAATACAATAGATTTTACTGTCATTTAGAAAAAAACAGGAACAAATTCTCACACACTTATGTAAAGATTGATAACTTAATTCAAGATTCAAGATTTAAGATAATTTATTAGTGGACCTCAAACTTCTCTATATGGAGTTGGATATGTGTGTATCTCTACATTTATTGTTAAAAAGCAGGAATAAATGGACATAATATATCACACAGGTGCAATAAAACACCACAAAATAACCCTGAAAGCATACTCTTTATTATAAAAACTAAATTATAACATGGTCATGGATCAACTATCACCTTATGTGACTTCATCCCAGGTCATGTCTGGTTTCGGTGAAAGTTATTTGTGCAATTCCAGGAGGAGATCATGTTGCATCCATCATCTGTCAAGTTCCTGCGACCTAGATGGAATGAGTTCCCTTCCATTTGCTAAAGCCAAATAAAGTTGTCAATTAAGATTATGCCAATTTATATTTTCATACTGTATATTGTGTGCAGAGGTGGACACAAACACACAGAAACATACACAGACACACAAATCAGCAAATCCTCACCTTAAGTGCTTCATCATTTACTATGATCACGTCACTCTCAGTTGAACAATCGTAATCTTCTGTGGTGGAAACTTGGTATATATAGCCCAAGATTTGTATCAGACGGTCTGTAAATAAACAGTTTAGCTTTACAAAACTTTTTTTTGTAATTGGTTGGTGCTGTTTCCTTTGAAGTTTTGTCATTTTATTATTTTAATTCTGTTAAGGAGAAATCACTCTGAATTTCCAGTTGTTAACATGAATCGTCTCACCATTTTTCGCTGCCAAGTTCTTGTTTTCCTCCTGTAGTGACTCTACTTTTTTAGTAATGCTCTTATGAGTCTCAGATAATCTGTCATCTGTTATAAAAGAGATATAAATGTTTCTCAATTTGTACTCTGACAGAGGCTAAGTACAATACACATTTACATACACAATTCATGCAGGCACACAATATACAATATGTAACCTTTTATCACCCACTGTTCCACCCGTGGGGCACAAGGAATAAGCAGAGCATTCACAGACTGCTAGTACTATGAAAAGTTACAGGAATATGAGCATGTAATAAATGTACCTATATATGTCTTGCAAGATTAATGACTGATTTTCAAAAAGAAGTCCCTGTAGTACAAATAATTCCTTGCAGATTATAAAATTACAAATAATAATCCCCAGTAAATATATAACCAAAACTTTATAAATCTCCCTATTGTCTAAGCAGTCTGGCAACCCTACAGTGTAATAAATCCCTAATCCTTAATAAACTTTGTGTCCAAAATTCTAAGGGAATAAATAAAATTGTCAATTTGTTATGAATTAAGAGAATATATGCCAAAAGCGGGGTGGATGTTAGAGGGTTACACACAAGGGGGATTAAAGACACTACAAGATTACCAGTGGACTAAATCAGTTCTATGTGTTAATACAGTGTAGAATGTATGCAGTACACTATTTTGTCCCTGCTGTATCTTTAAGGTTTTGTATTCATAAATGAAAGTCAGACTCACAGTAGAAGCTCAGACCAAGCAGCCCTCCGATTAACAGAATACACAGCAACACCAGACACACCGTTGCATACCTGAAAAAAACTAACCAGAAGATAATATACAGTTACTGTAATTTACCATTATGATATGCTAGTTTTTTATGTGTCTGCATTATATTATATTATATTATATTATTTTATTTGAATTTCAGTATGTACCTTACCTAATCTGGGTGGTTGCTTCGATCCTGGTCCTCTGTTTGCCTTTACGGGAAGGCGTCTGATAGTCATGTATCTTTCGGGTAGAGGGTGAATGCGAGATTGTGCTGTGTTTGGGTATGGGGTGTTTTGCAGTGCTCTCCTAGCAGCACTCTTCCCACTCTTCTCACTTCTCAGCTCTTCTTTCTTATGTTCTCTTGAATCAGGGCCTGATTCAAGTCCTCCTGAACCGTTTTGTCTTCTTAAATCAAGACCAGGTGTATCTCCGTTTTCATAAATATCGTCAAGTTCCGACCATTTGTCTGCATCCATTATCATGTATTCATCACCAGCACTCTCTGCTTCTACAGCCTCCTCCATTGTGGAATAGTGTCTCTGTATGTATGTGACTATGTTATGTATGCATAAACTCCCTTGCTGTTGATACTTATGACTTTTTTTTAGTGGGAGGGACATCATGAGACCGCCTCTTACCAATCTAAATTTATTACAAACTTGTGTTTGTACAATATTGAACACTGCGTTGTCGAAGTTGGTATTGTTGGTTTTAATACTTTTCACTGGTTAAATATTTGTAAAACCCACAAGGTAAGGGTAACCAATAGCATCAATTTATAAAAAAAAAATAAAAATGGCAAAATATAGAGGTAAATATAAGGTTTCTGCCTGACAGCAGTGACCATAAATTACATTTTAAGAATACATTGGATCACATGGGACAAAATAGAAATGCGGTTAAACTAATCTATTATGGATGATGTCTCTGGCAGGTGTATTATTTATATTAACATTACACTCTGTGTAAAACCTACAAAAGCAAGCATGAAACTTTAATGATCCCTGGGTGGGGAACTGGGTAATTCAGAATCAAACAGTAATTGATCACAAAAACAAACACAAATGCAAAATATGTGCACACAATGATAAGTAGAAAAATAATGGAAACAGTCCTGAAGGCATAGAGATAATTTTCCTTTAGTTTGTATATGAAAATTAGTAATAGTTGCACTGGAGAACTACTGTTGGTGTTTCAAAATTGATCTGTAAGATAAGTAGCCTTGTAGTGAACAGTGACAGTTATTCAAAACTGTGGTTTACATTGTTTGTGTGGCTTGTCCTTGTTGAGCAGAAGTTTACTTTGTTTGACTGTGTGTGCTGACACAAAATCTCAATCTCATCTCAAAATCTCATGTTTCAGTTGATGTTACAGCACATCTAGGGTTAAGTTGAGGACTTTGCACTGTGCACATGTTGTGCATACAGTATTATATTATGGATAACAACTATTTTTCTCTCTCTCACTTGCCCCATGCCCTTATCAGATTTGAATTAGGAATACCTTCTCCCTATCTCTTCCCCAACCATCCCCCTTTCCATCCATCGGTTTTGGATTAAGACTTTACCACCCAGTGTGTAGTACTCCAGCCTCTGTTATTTAAGCAAATTCATAATGTCCTACAGATGGCTCAAAGGCCTTCAGGCTTATTAGCTGTCACTGGGTGTGTGTTCTGCTTGGGGTCTTTTTCTGCATATGTCCTTTCCAAAAAATCATCATAGTTCCTTGTGGAATAATACCATATCAGATCTATAGTGGCTTAGAGATCATTTAACTGTTTAATTTGTGTCTTTTGTAAAATTTATAACAGGATTACTGTAGCTCTACTGTGCACCACTGTTCTTGTGTGTGTCACAGCTTACCTACTGCTGTGTATTTGAGAGCCTTGATTTTCAATGTGAGCCATACTTCTAAGCACATCACTGTCTATATTATCCCTGAATCAACATCAGACTTAATCTAGGGGTTTTGATGTCCCAGTGTCAAGATTTTTCAGGACAGTGGGGTGTGTCTCTGCTTGTGTTTCATGCAAAAACTCTTATAAGCAGAAGTAAAGCTATTCAAAACCATTTCTAAAGCCTAATTTCAGAAAAAAAGACATCACTAAAGTCTGCAGCTTTGATGAAAACTCATAATTTGTGTTGTTCGAATCCCTCTTCCCAAGACCCGGCCTCTGTTTAAAGGCTGTAGCTGGTGTTTGGTTCATCTTTCCTCCCCGTTGTGTTTGAAACAAGCAAAGTAAGAGCCATAATAGGCTCCAGGAGCAGTAATTGAATAGAATAATAACAGGCTGTTAACACAGTTGTTAATTAGCGTTTGCTGATCCGTGCCTATCTACACCAAACAGCTTGGAGCCCATATATTAAAAAAGACTGAAAGATTAAGAGGGAAATGGGTTTCTTTTCATTATTCACATGAGGTATGCCTCCCAAGTGAATGACTTTTTAATGTCCACAAGTGTGTGTGTGTGTGTGTGTGTGTGTGTGTGTGTGTGTGTGTGTGTGTGTGTGTGTGTGTGTGTGTGTGTGTGTGCATGTGTGAAGGGTAGCTTATGGCCAAGGTGCATGTATTGACTTTAATTCTCTCTAATTACTTACTGTGTATGTTCAGGTAATTGTGGCTACTGCATTTCACAAACACACTTTGATTGCTTTACAGAAATACAACCACAACAGCACTGTAACTGGCAGCTCATTAAGTTACCTGGGAAAAATTCCAAAATAATAAATATTACATGGAAAAATATATAGTCAGTACCGCCTCATGTCAGCTGTCTTTAGATTTAAACCAGTGGATTTTGACTTAAGCAGCTTTGTTAGCACACATTAGTATTAAGTTTGTCTGTCTGTATGTACAAGAACTTGTTAAGGATAATTCAAGATTATATTGTATTAAGCATTTTATTGAATTAAAACAAATAAAATATTATAATAATAATTTTCATATTTATTTTAATCTGTGCCATCTTGCTTCTCTGTCTCTGTCTGTCCCTTAAATGCAGAATGTGTATGTAAACATCAATCGGATCATGTCGGTAGGGAACCGGCTCTTGGAGTCAGGCCACTATGCCTCCCAACAGATCCAGCAGATCTCTGGTCAGCTGGAGCAGGAGTGGAAAGCTTTCGCTGCAGCACTGGATGAACGCAGCACCCTTCTGGAGATGTCTGCCAGTTTCCACCAGAAAGCAGACCAGGTACACACACACAACACTGATAGACACACAGAAATCATACACATGCATGTGCCATGTGTTACATTAAATGTTTATTCTTTGTTTAATTATATGTACAAAACACGTCCACGTATCCAAACATAATCATCCTGCATGCATACAAACATTTTTGGCTGTACTAAATATACTGTTTGTAGCTTGCTTCAAAGTAATTGCATACATTTGCAAACTTTTTAGTTCTTATATGCATACAGAACATACCATGTAAATGAGATGTGCTAATATTAGCATATTAGATTTATTACTAAATGTTCGAGGCTGAAAAAAAATGTTTTTGTCATTTGTGCTTTCCTGAATATTTTAGTATTCAAACCTTTTTACAGTTGTATATACTTTTAAAGAAATATATATTTAAAAAGAATTATAAAAATTTTTTGTGTCAGTACAATTCACAAGCACTGGGGTTACAATTGACCTGAAATACCATTTAAGTTACCAATATTGCTTTCCATTGTCTGCTTACGGTTGCAGTAACAATGCGTTAGTTAGTTTTTGACACTGAATGTCCCTATAATGCTCAAGACATTTGTTTATTTGTTCTTTTGTTAATATTTGTGGGGAGGGCAGCATTACAGACATAATATTGTATGTTTTCATGTCATATCTGTGGTAAAATAGTCTCTACTCTTAGCTCACTGAGTTTCTGTGATAGATGTTTTTTTCATTCAGAGGCCCTATCCCCTTCCCATAACAGCTTTATCAAAGCTTTCTCCAAAGCTCTATGCTTGCCTGTCTCCTTTCTCCTTGTTGAACTTTCCCCTCACTCTTACTTCAGTCTCTCTCTTTCCAGACAACAAACAGTTTGGATGCCAAACCTTTATGTGGAGATTAATTGACAGCCTGTCAGGAGCAGTTTTAATGCAGAGTTTGGATTGTTTTCTTTCTTTTCATTGGTTTATGACAAGAGCATTCCGTGGGGAGCAACTCTGAACTCTTCATATTATACATACTAATATCATGGATTGTATTAATAGTAACATGTGCAGTGTTAGCATTTGAAAAATCTAAAAAGTATGTACTGCACTAAAAAGTACAGTTACAGTCATTTAACAATCAAAACTGTGCCATACTTGTTTTCATTATCTTGGTTTCATAGAAACAATCTTTAAAAAAAATGTAGGCTTGATAAGAAACTCAAATTACGATGTGTATTTTTTATAATGACAACTAAATAGCAAAGTTGTTCTGGTTTCATCAAGGATCCCATCATGCATACACAATTGATACTGCATTTTACATACCAAATAGTATGCATTTGTATGTACTGTAGGATACTGTACATGTCATTTCATAACCAGAGAAGTTCAATTACAGACAGCTAAAGTTTGAGAACAAACAAATCCACATCTGACTGCATTATTTGTATTTGTGCATTTAGACAGAACACAGTGTTTATAAAATGTGATAAAGTGCTTGAGTCTATTGTATGCACATATGCATGTAGCTCTGTGTTATTCAATGTTTGTATTGTGTGTGTTCTCTCCCCAGTACATGAGTAAAGTGGAGCCGTGGTGTAAGGCATGTGGTGAAGGAGAGCTGCCCTCTGAACTCCAAGATCTGGAGGACACAATCCACCATCACCAGGGACTATATGAGCACATCACCACCGCATACTCGGAGGTCAGTACGCACATTCATACACACTGATTCTGTATGAGTGTGCAAAACAAATGTATATGCAAATATTAACGCTGACTTTGTAGAACACAAAATAGAACAGACAATTATCCAAATTATGTACTAAAAATATACAAGGGAAAAAATCCCTTAGGAGCTTATTCATTGCTGCTAGGTAAATAATAAAAAACAATATTCACACTGTCTAACAAATAGACAAGTATTACATGAAAATTATAGAACAATCTTTCAAATGTATTTTTTAAGTTGAACCAAACAAGAAAAGTAATTCCATAAGTTAGTATCCCTAAATATTATTGATGATTTACCTTAATTTAATGAGATTTTTGGGACAATTAAAAGTAGATAACTGTGTTTGTTCTCATTTGAGTCTAAGTAAATCTGTCTATCTAATTAATTACTTTTCTAGGTATACTAATAGATTTAGTATCTTTTTGCTGACACGATCAATGCATTTTCTCCAACCTGAGTCCTGTATTTGAGTTATTTAGCAGACATGAGGCATTTGATTAATCTCTGAGATACCTTTTAATCTGTCAAACTACACGTCACCTCTTACAGGTAAGCCAGGATGGGAAGTCTCTTTTGGACAAACTGCAGCGACCTTTGACCCCAGGAAGTGCTGATTCATTGATGGCATCAGCTAACTACTCCAAGGCTGTGCACCATGTCCTAGAC